GGAAGCCCAAGCCCAAGTCCAAGCCCGGGTCATCGATGGTCGCCAAGCGCGGCCGGCCCCAGCCCACCGTGGCGAGCTTCATTGCCGCGTGCGATGAGGCCGCTCCGCGCGAGACGATCGTTCTCGACACCGACGAAGAGGCGTTCGAGGCCGATCACCGCGGTGCCGTACACTCAGCGAAGAAGCGGAACGCTGCCGCGGAGGACGGGGGGGACGAGACGGAGAGGCGAGGCCACAACAACGAAAGCGAAGCGGACGGCAGCATCGACGATCCGGTCGAGGAGAACATGTTTGTCTACGCCGCGCAGGACGAAGACGACGCCGGAGTGACCACCACCACGACCACAACAACAGCGACGTCCTCCTTCAAGCGACCGCAAAGCAACGTGTGGAAGAACTTCATTGTGGGCGATACCACCGAACCGCTGCACGGCCACCGCAAAGCCCGCGCTACTGCTGGGCGAGGCCGGGCTCTCAAGGGGAAGCAGCTGGACCTGTCGCACTTCATCCCCGGCGTGAAGCCCGCCCCTGCGGTCGTGGAGGCCGAAGACAACAAGGTGCGACCCGTGGTGGTGGTGGTGGCTGGCGCCGGCTGGTGGTGGTATCTTCCGTCATTCATCAAAAAGCGTGGTCGCTAATACGACACTGCGTGTGTGGTCTGGTTGGCTGTAGTCGTTGATCGACAAGACGGTGATCCCGCGGCCAATCCCGCGATCGTGGGCCAAAGCCGTCCAACCGTTCGACTACGAGGCCGCACGCGGCCAGAAGGCGATTCCCGGCTCCAGGTGCGTCTTTTACTCCACCTTGCTTTTTGTGTGCCCCAGAAATGCACATACTAATTGACCCGACGTGCGTGTTGCGTGTCGTGTGTCGTGTGTTGTGCGTTGTGTGCGCACGCAGATATGTGGAGGCGACGATCGAGGAGCTGGAGCTGGAGAAACTGGGCAGCTTCGAGGCCATCCTCATGGACCCGCCGTGGGACCTCTCTCCTCGCGCCTCTGCCTCGGATAAGGCGCGCCAGTGCCACCAGCTGGTGCCGAAGCGGGGCAAGAACGGGGAGCGGCTGATCAGTCCCGAGGAGCTGGGCAAGTGGCCGGTGACCGACAAGCTCATCCCCAAGGGCTTCCTCTTCATCTGGACCGAGAAGGAGCTCATCCCGCGGGTGCTGACCATGGCGCAAAAGTGGGGCTTCCACTACGTCGAGAACTTTGCGTGGGTCAAGTTCGACGTGAACAACAAGATCCACACCGAGGACTACGCCTACTTCCGCAAGTCCAAGCTCACCCTCCTCATGCTCCGCAAGCCCGGTACGCCGCGTCTCATCAGGGTGGTACCACCCTGAGCTGTTGCGTCCGCCATCGCCTCACCACCTCTCGCGCAATGCGTGCACGACAGGCGACATCGAGCTGCGCCACCAGCGCAACCCGGACGTGAAGTTCGATTTTGTGCGCAAGGGCCGCGAGAGGCTGCCCTTCGTCTTCGACATCATCGAGACCCTCCTCCCCACCGCCAAGTACGCTCCGCTACTTAGCCCGCTTCCGCTTTATTGCCACCTGCGCGCGCTATTTACATGGCCCAGCCGTGTCCGCAACCACTCAACCTCTGCCTTTCCTTGCTTGCTTGGTCGACCACGCCGCAGGTACAACCCGAAGACGGGCAAGGGCAAGATGCTGCAGCTCTGGTGCCTGCCCCAGGAGCGACGATCGGGCTGGACCTCCGTCCACCTCTCCGACGAGTCCGCCCACGACGATGAGTCGCCCGTCGAGCTGGAGTACGTCGAGTCGCCCTCTTCCGAGGAGTGACCATCGCTACCGCTCACCGCCGCGGTGTGGGGTTGGCGAAGACCCATCCACTCTGCCCTGGCCGTTCTCTTCTCCTCCTCCTCCTTCTCTTGGTTGCACTCAGAGTGCGTGTGTGTACTTTACAGTCTCCGCCGATGTCCAGCCTAAAACACATGATGATCGAAAAATATCGCTGGCGCTCGTCGTCGCTTCGGGGTCGTTCGTGGACGCTCACAGAATGTCGCTGATGTCCCATTCGGCGAGCTTGGGGGCCTCCTTCTTCTTGCCCTTCCTCCTCGACTTGCTCTCGTGTTCGCTGTCATCGTCTTCGTCCTCCTCCTCTTCTTCTTCCTCGTTCTCGCTGTCCGACCTTCGTCTCTTTCGCTTTTCGTTCTTTTCGCTTCGTTCTTTTCTGTCCGAACTGTTGCTCCGCTTCCGCTTGGTGATGCCCTCGACCTCGCGCCGCAGCTTGCCGCGCACCAGGGACAGGATCTTGCCCAGCTTGTTCTCCCCGCTCCCATCGCCTGCATCGCCCCAGAAGGAGTCTGCAGGTCGCGAGTTCGTCAGCATTGCATTGAGCTGCGTGCGTGTGCGGTGTGTGTGGGTGTTACCGCTTCGTGTGTGGTAGAAGATATCGGCAAAGCCCGTGCTGAGGAGCGTCTCCTGGATGTCCTTGTGGTCGGTGAACTTGGCCAGCGTGGCCTCGTACCTGCGAGACGACCAACGGTGAGTGCACAGACAAAAAAAAACTGCGGCAGAGGTGCGAGGGCTTGGGCGTGTACATGACTTCCTCCTGCTTGTCCTTCCAATCGCTGCGCGGTGGTATGTCCTTGTCCTCGCCCATCTTTTGCACGCAGCGGGTCTGCCG